AAAGTTTCCCATGAAAAACATTTTGAATATCGTAAAAAATCAATGCGAAATACTTCTGTGAGTCACTCTATGTACATATGTATGGGCTTTAATGATGCTGCTGTAATAAATGCTAGCTTTCTATTCCGACCATATCCAAGTACCTCTGGGTCATCTTTGCAGGACAGGCTTAAATATTGCAGAAAGACTCAGCTTTCGCCACCAAAGAATATCAATCACGTTTATATCTTTTTTTTCAAAATTTTTTCCAATATTTTTTTTTTTTTACTTTCATGTGAAAAAAAGTGTGCGTGCCCGCCTTTGGTTCTTAACACCAAATGTGAAAAAGTGAGATAAGTTGATGACCATTTTCAAGGCTCGAAATGTTGGATTGACTTTCAGAAAAGAATTTAGTTACGTCAACTTAATATGTTTCTCTAATTAATATGTTTCTCCAAACAAAAACGATTTGGTTTTAGTTACCGAATTATGTGTGGAGAGAAATATATTTAGCTGACTTTTTTCTGAGTGTATACATACCTCGTTGCCATTGAGCTTATTAAAAGCTCCTTCCACTCAGAAATTTGTTTTTGATAAAAATCGATATCAGTAGTTATCATACGATAATTTAAAAGATTACCTCGAATTTGAGAAAAATTTCCTTAAGGGACTTCGAAGAATATCGTATGGACGCCCACTTCTGACCCCCTTAAAAATTCGAAATCGATCCTCGAGAGACAAAGACAAATCACCTAGTGTATTTTTGTCATAAAAAAGTTTCAAGTAAAGATCATTTTCCATTCATAGGCAACGTAAAACTCCAGGTCCCCGGTTAGATTTACCGTGATTTTACATCAAAAACTGTTTTAACCGCTGTTCGTTTGAGCGTCAGTGGTTTAAAGATGGGGTCCTCACCCTGGCTTGGGACTTCTATAGTTTCAGTGGAGTCGATTAGAGTGAATCCGATCGTCACCTATTAAATTTGAATTGAATATTAGGTCAACAGTATAAAACAATATTGGTTTAAAAAAAAAATCCATTTAATAATAAAAAAGGCTATTCACGTAACTGGAGGTTAATTTTGCGAAAACATATTACATATTTATACAAAAGAATACTTGTATGTAAGTTTGTAGATTATTGGTTGGCGTGTCAGCTTTTATTTCACTTAAGCACTTTGCTTCACAGTTCGCTCAACTTCAGAACGTCTAAGGTGAAAAGTGGGTGGGCGGCTGGGATATAGTAGAGTAGAATGTTTAATACATACACACATACATATGTATATGTGTATGTACAAAGATGAGCGTATGTACTAGGAATGTTAAACCCGGATCCCGGCCTTTTAAAGGACCCAAAAATCCCGGGATTCTCGGCAAATAATCCCGGGATTTTCGGGAATAGAAACTCCTTTTCTTGACCAGTATTGGCTATATTTCTTTGTTTTTTTATTTAATAATTAATATTTTTTTATAAATGTCTAGCTCAGTATACATAAAGCACCGCGCGATAGTAAATTTTAAACACAAACATCAATATATTCGCAAAACCATAGGCCAAATATAGTAAAATTGCGTTTTTAGTTTTTTACTCTGACGTCAGTAATTCAAACATGATTTAAAAAATTCAGAGAAATATGCTTAGAGAAGCCGTATGGGTATCAAATTGAAAGAGAAAATCCTGTAGAATATAAACAGATTCAAGTTTTTGGTGCAGAAGTACTGGATAGTAATTAAAATGTCCTTTTAAAATTTTATCCTTGAAATTTCGCAATACTTGTTTTTGGAAAAATCATATCTTAAGGACTTATATAAACTGGATAAAATCCTCGTATTTCGTCCTTCTAACTTTATCAGCTTAAAAAATTACCTAATCGTCCTTGTGAATCCAAAAAATTTTAATTTTTTTCAAATCTAAAGGAATTGCCTCTTGCATTTGGTACCCATATTTTTATTCTACATTCCATTGAATTTTTTTAATAATTTTTGGAATTAAAAAATAAAAACGCCACTTTAAATAAAAAGTAGGTTTCAAACCTATTTATTTATTATATATTTTATGGTAGGAGAGCTTCTCAAACAATATAGAAACAATTTTTTCGATTTAAGTTGGTGAACTAATACCAGGATACCGGGATTGTGATAACGACGTCCCGAAAATCTCGGGATCGGAAAAAGCTGAAAAATTAACTACCCTAGTATGTACATATAACTTCAACAAAGTATATAAACACAAATGCATTTGTGCACATACTTTCAGGGGTCGCCGTTGAGTGCTGTCAGCTGGGACTTGGCTGTATGATGGCATTGGAACTAGAGGGTTGGGTTTTTGGCTGCGCTTGCTGGTTCGTTCGTGTGTTCGTTAGGTGTTTTATTGACGTCGGTATGTAAGAGGAAATTTAATGGCAAATATTGTAATATGAAGCCAGGGGTTTTGGCTTTAAAATAATCGAAAAGCACTTTTACAGCAAAATCTGAATTTAAAGCGAGATTTTTAATGCTAGTTAAGAGCTTAAGAAATTTTTGATAAATAGAATATAGTAACTGACTTAATAAAAATTAATTGACAAGAGATGAAGCAAACAATATTTATGAACATTTTAATGTTATGAGCTAAATTAAATGTTTTGGTCACAAGACAAATCTATGTATGTATGCGGCGGGAAAAGGGAGTCACCTTCACAAGTATCCACACAATTAATTATGGTAGCCTTAGTGCGTCGCCCGACTGACCATTAGTAATACCATTCCTACGTGCTATAGGACAAGTAGAATAAATTGAAATGAACAGAAAGAGGCAATTTATCCTTTTTACTGTTGAAAATGTTTTCTTTCCAAAGTCTGCGGGAAACGTGCACTGATTGCCAAAGCTGTATGTATGTAGGGTTTAAGTTCGCCAATCGGGCGTTCGATGGCTCAGGCGATAAGAGTAAATAAGCGGTTAGATGGAATGGTGTAGGCAGTTTTAGCAAATTAAAACTTGAGTGATGGAATACTGGTGATTGCGTGGTTGGCTGCGTACCAGAAGTGATTTATGTGGAAGAGTGTACTAAATATATGAGGCAAAATTAATATGAAATGCCACTACTAACAAGTTCTAACATACTTTAACAGGATATACATCACGGTGGGCAGGAAGCAAAGATAGGTTGCATAAAAATGTCGACAAAAACTGAAAGCAGGGTTGTATTTGTTGATATTTTTAGGTTAAGAATCCCTTTGAATTGAAATCCTAGCTGCTCCTGTTTTAAAGATATCCACATTTTACATAGTTATGATAGGACCGACTTTTGCGAAAGAGAAAAACATCCTTGTGCATTAAATATTCAACAATGTATGTGTGAGTAAATGTGTGTATATATATT